ATATATATATATATATATATATATATATATATATATATATATATATATGTATGTATGTATATATCAGACAGGAGGGTTAAAGATACACGCACACTCGATCCGGTAAGCGTCCTAGGCTACAACGATATTTCACCATTGTGTCCGGATCCGGCCCTCTTATCCTCTGTCTCACTTCATTCTGCATCCTCGCTCCGCTCCGCTTGTCCAGGGTAGACTGCATGCGTCAGCCGCGAGTGGGCCGAGAGGCCCCGTGGGAAGGGCGACCCCGACCGGGTACCCAGTGCACATGCGCGGGTTAAAACTCGGCGGTTGGCCTCCCAGGTGCATGCGAACCTGCCGCACCGTTAACCAGTTTCCTTCATCCTACGGCCCTGAAATGATCATTTCTGGTCGAAAGGGCTCTAATCCAAACAACCAAACCAACCATTTTGTTCCATTGGTTGATCTGCCTGACCGGGGACTTATCAAAATGCAAACCCGTGGCCTCGAAGCTCCATGGATTCACCTGGGTAAGTTCATCAGACGGCCGCAGCTATGATGGGCAGAGTAAATTGGCAAGCAGGGGGTGCAATTTTGAGTCCATCTGATGCTTCCGAAGTCGTAAATGCGCGCATTTTGTCCAGCGCTTCTCTGACGCAAAACGCGGCGGATCGTCATCGAATGACTTGCTTCCCTGTACCAACGCCTCGGTTCATGAATTGCCTTCAATATTGAACTAATTGTAAAATGTACTCATTTTTTCAAGTTTGCCTTGATCGTACCATTAGTTCTACTCATCAAACGTGTTGTAGCACATGCATCGCCCGCGTACCTTGCAACGTCACGTATGCGGTCGTCCCAGTATTCAAGATGTACTCCCAGTGACGTCATATAGGGATCTTTGCTCTTTGCTGACAGATGCGTAGTCGGGACGGTCGGGCCACCCGATATATCGCCTTGGTTGCTTCGTGATAAAATTCGAGAGTTGTAAGTTGGTTGTGAGTGAAAGAGCAGCGGGAATTTGCAGGAAAACCCAAGTAGCCTTTACTCTAGTAGCCTTGAGGAAAACCCTGGTGCGACAGGGCTGAACGCGGGCTAAGGCTTGGGCATTAAGGCTGACGCCTGGACTGTTGTACGGCGTTGGGTTGAGGGAGCCGTCGGCTGTGTGTTTGTTAAATACGGCTTCGCACATAAAAGCTATATTATAGTAGATTAGGGCGGTTTTAGTGCACGCCTACAAATACAAGTCGAAGTCATGGCAGGAAGGCAGTATAGTGATGCGAAAAATCCCTTCTTCTCCGTTGAAGAACCAGTATCTGATGATGACTTTTTGAGGCACCCTAAACAAGGTTCATCTGGCTACATGTTTCCTGGGCATCAGTCTGGTTCACACAATCCCCTAGAAGATAGAAGGCTTCAACTTCAAGAGGAGCGTAGAAAAATTGAGCAGCGCACACTGGATTCTTCTAGTCGATCAGTGGGTCTTCTTCAAGAATCAGAACGAGCTGGTATTGAAACAGCTGAGGTTGGTACCTCCTTACCCATGCCCTGATATTGCACTATTTTGTATACTTGAGGCATTTGTTGGCAGTGTGTAGGCTTTTTATTACCCTGAAAAGCTGGATGCAGGGCTTTTGGAGGTTGTCCTAGGCAATTACTATCCAAGAATGTCTTGTGCATGATTTATCATATGCCTAAGCCCATCATTCCCAATATGTGTTTATGGATGATATTTCCTTAAGGAAGGTCATGCTGGATATTTGATACAAGGCATCTTGTCCTGATTTGTATTCAAACAAACAGGCCAGCCACTGCTGAATGTGATTATTGCCATGATATGTTAGTATTAATGCCTGTCAGAGGCTGACAATTCAGTATACATCATCCTGAAGC